TACAAACTCACTCATTTAAATATTATTACAAAAGATCACTTTGTCGTTAAAATCAAAACATGCATCTAATGCGATATGATATGATTATAGTTTTAATCTTCAAAACATATACATTATATTAATTTTATCCTAATTTTAATTTTTTTTTTTGGATAAAGTTAACTCTTCGTATTTAAAATTTTCATAAATTTAGTTTTTTTACGATAAGATCAAACCGAACGAAACCATAAGATCAAAGTAGTAGTTGAACGATCATACCCTACCATAAAGTAGCAGGAACTTACCGCTATTATACCAGAAAATTCAAAGGAAAATGATATAACATTTCTTATGGAAGAACAAATAAATTAGAAGAACAACATATTGAATTGATGATTTTTTTTTAAATATGAAGGATTAAGTATTGAACTATTTCGAATAAGAAGGAAATCAGTTTTTCTAAACATATCCACCATTATATGATTCACTTATAAAATTATAGGATGCCATGCCGGTTTCCTACACTGGGACGCGGTAGAAGGGTCGATCATTTTCAAGATAACAAGTTCCCTTTATCACCTCTTGATATCCTGTTCAAGTTTAAACATCATGCAAATTAAAATCACCCCCAAAGTTTCTAAACCTAACGTTTATCATCTTCATTTCCTTCTCATCAGCAAGTTCGTGTTACTTAAAGTACTAGTCTCCGACAGCCGACACTATTATCTAACATATTCAGTATATCCATGTCGGACATACCCATAGGTGTAATGAAGTAAGTTTAAGGTTGGACATAAATTTTATTTGATCTCGGGATTAACTCACCTCATTTCATCATCCAATATGTAATCTCTAATTCACCACGAGCTCTTCCAGGTGCCTTAATAGGTATCTGCAAATCGAGAAAAATACGAATTATAAGATGGGTCTAGACTAATATGCAGATACTCGGCGTATTCCGTCCTTTATTTCCGTCATAATCGATGGGGCCATGAGGCTAAAATTAGGCAAACAGATACCTCCTCTGCATATGTTATACCTGGCTTAAGGAACTACTGGCAGTAAAGGAGATTCTTTTACAAGCCATTTACGTGTTCTAAAAATATCTAAGCTTCAAAATGAAATCTGCAATGTTCTCTAGCTCAAATGCCGATTTTTCAAAATACTTTTTCAAACAGCAATCCGGTTAAAATGCAGCTAGGACGCAAGAAGCAGTTTTGAATATCAAGCTGATCAGATGATTGCATTTCAACTTACCAGACCTCCAATTTTGAATTTATCAAATTTTACAGCCACTTTCCTTGGATTCAGAGGGTTAAATCTGCAGTAACCTACAAAACATAATAGTCATTTCCACAATTTAGTTAGATACAATTAAGAAGAAATCAAACAGGAAATCCATGCCAGTGAATACCCTAAAACCGAGTTTAACAACACCGAGTGTTGGTGCAATTCCAACCTTAGAAATGACATTGTTGGGACTTGGAGGCGATAGCCAGTACAAACTCCGAGCATGAACAGTAAAATGAAAAACATGACTTTAACGGTTTAACCCCATGGAACCGGAAAAGTTTAAGCTTTACCTGGTTGAAGAAAGGGAAAGATTCCATATTTTGTGCTCTAAGTGTATCCACATTGATTGCTTGGTAGTTTGTTCTTGATCTTAGCAATTTGGGTCTCTGTAAAAACATTAGTTCATAAAATTAAACTATAAGAAACGAAAAAAAGAAAGAAGCAAGCAAAGCAAGCAAAGTGAGTTTAGCAACCTGAGTTTGCAAAATAGATTGGGAAGTCGTGTAAAAAGCTCCCATTTCCATCAAGTAAATCATTTCAAAGGCTGCTTTGTGGGATTAACCACTTCAGTTTGCTCGCTAACTGTCACGATCATGGAGCACAATTCTCGAAATTCACCAAAAAAAATAATGAAAAAGAGAGAAAATAAATAAACGAAAAAAAACCCACCTGATCAACCCTCTGTTGGTCCTCAAGGGTGGCAGCGGCGCCACGGTCAAGTGGTACAATGGCCTCGAGAAGCTCTTCCTTGAGAACCTTAGCGTCCTTGCCTTTGTTTAAAAAGGCCGGGAAGAAAGAAACATTGACCCTCCATTTCTCATCGGGAGCTGATGCTTTTGGCAGATTAAAGGCGTTGGTTTTGATGGGTTTGACTGATAAGTGAAAGGCTTGGTGTGAAGAGCTAGCGATGGGAAGCTTTGGGTACGGCGTGTGGGCCGAAGAGGAATGAAAGGTGGTGAGAATTGTGGGGAAGTTTGGAGATAAGGCCATGGCTTACTGGCTGAGTCTCTTCGAAGCTGCCACAGGTCCCCCGGTGTGTGTTTGAAAACATTAACATTTTGCTTCGCACGTGCATTGGTTGCTGTCTTGCTTCTTGGGCTTCTCTCCGCCGAGCCTGCTTTTTTGGGCCTTATTTTCGGGTTGAAACCAGATTGTTACTGGATTCTTGGGTTCTGTCACGTCATATTTATAATTAAAAATATAAAAAAATATTCAATTTTTAAATGGTTAATGATAAAAAAATCTATTTAACTTTTATAAATTGTTATTTTACTCCATATTCTTTTTTCTGTAGTATTTTGACATTGATATATTCGTCCTTTGTGTATGAAAATGTTAGAAGCCAAAATATCAAAAAAAAATGGTTAAAGCGTCTATTTATTACTTCCTCTGTCCCATAATTTATATCTTATATTGACTATACAGATAGTTTTAAGAGATATATTTGACAGAGAAAAATATCAAATTTATCTCTATAAGACGATTGGTAGAGTTGATTGATTTATTTTGATAGATGTAAAAATTGAGACGTATAAGGATAAAAAATGAAAAAGTGATTAAGTTTTGAAGTACAAAATTGTAAGCAGATGTAAAATGATTCAAGAACTTTATTATTTTGTTAAAATTCGAAAGCTTCAAGCATATGTAAATTTTATTATTAAAACAATAATAATACACTGATTTTTTTTTTCAAATCTTATCCTTTTAAGGCTCTGATCCATCGGGCCTTTGAGCAAAACTAATCATGACTAAAATTATAAAAAGAAAAGGGTAAATTAAGTGTTTGGTACTTAAACTATTAGTTTTTGATCTGTTTTAATATCTAATCTTTTAATTTTTTTTTTCCAGAACCATCTCTAACGTTTCGTTTTTTTATCTGAGTACCCTGCCATTAAAAAATTAACGCATTTAGTGCCTAAACTATAAGTTTTGGCCCGTTTTAGTACCTAAGCTTTAAAAAAATTCAAAACTTAACGTTAAGTTTTTAACAGTGTACTAAAATAAAATAAAAACCAAACTTTAGATATTATTTAAAAAAGTAAAAGTTTAGGTACTAAAATGGACAAAACTAATAGTTTAGGTACTAAACTTGTAGTTTACCCAAAAGAAAAAAGTTGAGATTGAAATCTAATGCATTTAGGGTTTGTAAACTTTGTATTAGTTATGAATCTTTATTACACTGAGCCTTCACGTTTAAAGTTTAGGGTTAAGGACTCATTGCCCAAAGAAGAGGTGTCATGCATGTTTCCCAATGAGAATGCTCGAAATTGAGGTGTAAAAAAGTTGATTTCAACAAATTCAAATCGCTTTCATTCTCTAATCAAAAACGCACTTCACGGCTTTCTTTGTATGATCAGCATGCGCTGCAACAGTGCAGCATGGCATTGAAAAACGCACAACAGTAATGGGAAAGGAATAGTCTGGCTTTCGACCATCATCCAAATTCTGAGCTTGAAAAGCACCATTGATTTTCCAACAAAAAAAAAAACACTAATCATTTGCAAAAAACACACAACCAAAAAGACATAGATTTGGAAAGTCTGAATTCACAAGGTGAGTTGACAAAGCCATTAACAGTGCTGCTGCTGAGTGGAAGACAAAAACAGCTCACGAACCCATGCTTTGCCCTTATTTTTTAAAAAGGAACCCTAAAAGATACGTATATGGAATCCCGTAGTCGAATATAAACATTATATAGATACATATAGCTTTGTTAAGGTTGCAGTGTGTTTTCATTGTCAAAGCCTAGGGCATCCTTCTTTTCCAAGGTAAAACCATGAAAGTAGACGATCTTAGTTGAACATTTGCCCATATATGGAAAAAACAATTGCTTGAAAAGGCACGCTCATGCACCCTTTTAGTTCTACATATAATCCCCTTCAAGTTTCCAGCTGAGTACTCGTCTTTCTTTGAACTTTTTTTCTCCTTCTTGGTGGAATTATTATCTATGGAGTTTCTCAGAGGTTTTGTTGCAGAGCCAATTTGGCATACTGTCCACCTCCATTGATGTACTTTGGTGGAGTACCGGAGGCGGCCAGTATGTCAAACGGACTCTGTAAATTTCTCTCAGAGAAACCCTAAGAGCAGTTCGTGGAATACCCTTCAAGGATCAATCTTTGCTTTGTTGCTGCAACTTTGAAAGAAACGTAAACCTACAGAAACTCTTCGGGTAATCTCTCTTTGACTTGCTTAGCATGTATTTGTTTATAATCAGATGTAGAATTCAGAGATTAATAGCATGATTTTAATATGTAAGTCAACCATCCACAACAGTTCTGAAAAGATAATTAAAGCAGGCAAATTCGACCTTTTTGTTTTCCCTAACCTTTTCCATCGAATGAAATGGTGGTGTAAAGATGAAAACTTTCACGTTTTTAAAGCACCTTTCATCATTATTGTGAGCATGTGTTCCACTGTCAATGGCTCTTACTATTTCTCTCTTCTTTCTTTTTTTAGTTTCCTTCTTTAAAGGCCTTGGATTCCTACAAGAAATATCATAGAACGTGGCTTAAATCCCAGTATGGTCTCATGTGATCGGTCCTTGTAGTTTATTCATACTATCAGGTTACGAGTAGCCATCATTTATAATAGTCGTATATTTGACACTAACACTAAAGACAATATATAATTGTTGATGAGGCTCAAAGTGCTATAATCGATTTTCATTTATTGCATGGAAATGAAAACAAAAAAAAAAGGGAAAGATACAAATTTATATGTATATGTAGTTAAACTGAAGGTGGCGGTGCAGTAGCGTTGATGGCCAACTGCAACCCAATAGCACAAATATCAGGGAAGCTGCAAATGAAATAATTAGGACCGAATGCAAGCGTGATATTATCGTCCCCATCAAAGAACTGTATGGACTTATCGCTAACAGTGCATGTATCATGCCCCTCTTTATCCACTATTGCAACATCAAATTTCTGATCATATATGAACTCTGCAAACAAAATCAATCGACATCTTATACCATCTTTCGTTCATTCGATTCATGAACATCTCTAATTTAACATGATCGCGAATAATGTACCTAGAACGTCGCCGGCGTGGAAATCTTTTCCTTGAGCCCAGCCTTGCATGGTGATAACCGGATCCCATCCTTCTTCACCTCCGACGATGTAATGCTGCGGCATATACGAATGAACGACGTCGTATTCAAACCAAAATACCATGAAAAACACCATTGCTGGGAGTAAGATTGAGCTACCTATAATTGCCATTTTGTTGATTTTCCTGCACAATACTTGAGAAAATAATGCATTTTATAGAGGTTGAAGATAATTAAAGATGATTTGTGCTATATTCTTTTATGGAAAATAAACTATTTGTTCTTCATATTCAAAGATTTGGTAAAACATTGACCTGATAATCAAGGAAATTGATTTTACCTAATAAGGTAAAGGAAAAAAATATAAAGAAAAGTAAATTGATTGATTTTTTTTTGGGTACACATGGAAAATATGGAACTAAAATCTTAACTAGCTCGCTCCGTTCTTGTCAGCACCCAACATCGCTTTGATTTCAATTGGAGGCGATTGTAAAAGGGAGGAATCTTCCTCTTGAATGAGCGCAAGGTTCGCCAGTTTAACAGCACATTTGTTTCCTTCTCGCTAAATATGTCGTACTTCAACCACCCATCCTTCCTTTATGATTTCTAAACAGTCGTTAACCAGATCAAGTTCTGGAAAATCATCCATTCCTTCTCCATTAAAAATGTCCACAATCCATTTAGCATTCATCTCAAGGATCAGGTTTCTCAAACCAAGCATTTTAGCCAAATTGAGACCCTGTCGAGCCCCCCAAATTTCAGCGATCGAACTATTGACCCTCCCTAATCTCAACATGAATCCCACTTTCCAGTCACCATTACTGTCACGAATCAGACCACCTGTAACAGCCAGACCTGAATTCAATTTATAGACACCATCAGTATTAAGAATCCATCCTCCCTCAGGAGAAAGTAAATTGATTGATTCATGCATGAATAATAATAGTTCCTTACATTAAGGGTATATCAATTCAAGATTACATCCTACGAACAATATATATATATATATATATATATATTAGAATCAATTAGTTTTATTAAAAAAGAAATATTCAAAATTACATTGAATGTTTACAATTATAAATGTAAATTAATCATATTTCTGCAAACATTAATACAAAAACTAGTTATTTAAGATCACACAAAGACCATACAAGGAAAATGTTAAAAACCTAACAAAAAATCGAACAAAAGATAAATACAAATAGATCTGATCATATTGACAAACGAACCGTAAAAGGGGATAAAACTACTAAAAGGCAACCGACAAACCACAAATCAGAATGAGCAAAGTGAAAAAGATATTCACGAATGTAAATAGCGTATCCAAATTCAATCTAAAGGTCTAAAGCAGAGAAAATTAATATTATAATAAATAAGTGTCATAAAAACATTAAAAACTGTGTCATAAAAGCAAAAAAACATGATATAAAGGGTGAGAGATAAACAACCTTAAGATTTTTGAGAGAAAAACGACTATGAATTTTTGGTTGATATAACATTATTATCCTTTTATTTCTTTGTTAATATTTGAATTATAATTACATTCATCATAGTAATACTTTTATTAGTATTATTGATTGTTGATGATGTGACAATATAAAATTATATCACTTGTCAATAATAATAATAATATCATCTATTTATTTAAAAAATCTCTTTAAAAAATATTAAAATTTATAAAATTAATAAAATATTCAAAATAAAATAAAAATTAAAAATAATCAGCTAACCTTACTAAATTTTCTTTTTTTAATTAATCATTGGTATTTGATCTATTAATCAATTAATTCAGATCGAGTTCTGCAGAGATCCATTATGAGGATGACCCTCCCAACTCAATTTACTCCATACACAAACGCCAAGATTTAAACTCTTGATCTTATTTAAAGAATCTAATAATTTATCCAACTGGACTAACTGGTTATTGATAATTCTTTCTAATCCATTAGTCTAGCTTTACTCGTCTGTTTATTTGTATTTTAATCTTCAATGTGTTCTTCATTTTAAAATTTTGTTGCTATGAAAATACTATATCCCAAAAACAAAACGTAAAACACACTATATTTTTAATAACATGGTTTAGCTCAAGTGGTAAGCAGCTTGATATCACTTAAGTAATATCTCAAGTTCGAGTTCTTATGTATGCAAAAAGTCTCCGTTAGGAGACTCATCCCACCAAAACTAGGTGTGAGACCCGGATCAGTTCAGACTAATCAATGCAAAGCACTTACACTAGAATTCACACTCATTTATTTGGTTCTGAACCCGAGAAGAAAACAGATATCCAACGATGTAGAATACTCATGAATGATTGAGATGCTTATGTAAAGATGAAGAAAGAAGTTGAAGAAACAGAAAGTGCAAGGGTATCAACAAGATTACGAAAATCTACAATCATCAAAAAAACAAATATCCATTCCTAACATTTCACCACTTGAAATGTCCCTTGCAATCATGGCCAGAGAAGCTGTTGATCTAAAGATAATGATGTGTCTTTGTGTAAATGCCATTGCTTTTAATTGTCTCAGAAGTCCTCAATGGCATGAAATGGTCCAAGCAATTAACCAAGCACCTAAAGGTTACAAATCACCTTCATTTGAGAAGGCAAGAACATCCTTGCTTGATGAATGTTACAGAAGTGTTGAAAAGGTGTTGGCCCTAATGAAAGATAATTGGTATATTCATGGTGTATCTGTTGTCTCGGATGGTTGGTCTAATTGCAAACAAGATCAACTTATCAATTTCATTGTAGCAAATAGTTGAGGAGCCATGTTTATGTATTGCGGTGTCTTCAATGGAGTGGAGAAAACAAATGGAGTGGAGAAAACAAGGCAAATGATCGGTGAATTTTTACTGGATGCAATTGAAAAAATGGACCCATCAAATGTTCTTCAAATTGTCACAGACAATGCCAAGAATTGCATAGCTGCTGGAAGAGAAGTTCAAAAGGTACATAAACACATTTTTTGGTCTCCTTATGTTTGTCATTCTTTGAACTTGATTTTTAAAGACTTCGCTGAGGCTTTCCCATGGATGAAAATCACGTACAAGTGCGGAAAGCAAATTATGAAGTTTTTTTACTAATTACAAATACTTGCTGGCGTTATTTAAGGCTAATTCAACCAGAATTTTGTGGAAGGTAGCTAAGACAAGATTTGGCTCACATTACATAATATTAAAGAGGCTATTTCAATGATTGAGAGTCTCTTGAAACTACTGTTGTTTTAAGGTCATGGAAAGATTGGATTAACAAACAAGATGCATCAACTAAGACAATGGGTTCTTTGGTAGTTGAAAATATTCATGATGATAACTTTTGGGATGAGGTTAAAGAGATAGTAAGAATTACAAAGTCAATTTACATGTTAAAATTGTTGGTTTTTGGCAAATATCCCACATTGGTTTTGTATAAGGAGGAGAGGAAATTCTTTTGTTATAAATAAAGCCCTCCTACTCCTTAGTTTAACATCCCACAAATATAAGCCTTCTTCTATATTAAAGGTTATTTGTATTCTTTCTTTTTCTTTGTAATACTTCTTCTACTAGTGAAATATTATTTTAGTAGTGTTCGAGGAGGTAGGCATAATTTTGGCCTAAGCTCGTTAAATTTTGATGTTCTCTTTATGTCTATTTAATAGCTATTGTCGGGTATAGTTGTTGTTAATTATTGTCCTATTAAAATTACTTGTCTTGGTAGTTCTGTCTAAGGAAAGTGGGTTTTAAGAGAGACCATTGTGACCCCTCCTCTTTCCTGGGAATATACCTTGGTGTGATTTTTAGTACAATCGTTTTCACACTAGTCACCTAGATAATAGTTTTCAAGGTGAATTTGTTATTGTTGGTGGAAATTAACCTGAATTCCACAACAATTGGTATCAGAGCTCTTGGTTTATTTTAGTATGCTCTGTGGTAGCGGCTTAGGCTGATCTTCCACATCAGAAAAAATTTCCTTGGGATAATTGACATTCCGCATTGGCAGCTATTAAATAGAATTTGTAGCAGAAATGACAAACGCTTCTTCATCTTCAATTTTGGCAAGAAATGTTGTGACAAATGTTAGATTTACAGTGGAGATTTTTGATGGCACCAGTCATTCCGGCATGTGGCAAAATGAGGTTCTAGATGCCCTATTTCAGCAGGGTCTAGACATTGCTATTGAAGGAGAGAAACCAGATGATGTTGAGGAGAAAGAATGGAAGAGGATCAATAGAATGACATGTGGTACTATTCGATCGTGTCTTTATAAAGAGCAGAAGTATGCATTTTCTAAGGAAACTTCTGCAAGTAAATTGTGGAAGGCACTGGAGGAGAGATTTTTAAAGAAAAGCGGTCAGAACAAGCTCTACATGAAAAAGAGATTGTTCCGCTTCAACTATGTACCAGGTACCACTATGAATGATCACATTACTAGCTTTAATCAGCTGGTGACTGATCTGATGAATATGGACGTGACTTTTGAAGACGAAGATCTGGCTCTGATGCTGATGGGATCACTTCCTGATGAGTTTGAGTATCTTTAAACTACTCTACTTCATGGGAAAGTTGATATGTCTCTCAGTGAAGTAACTGCTGCCTTGTATAGTTATGAATTGAGAAAGAAAGACAAACAAGAAAACACAATTGTCGAAGCAGAAGCTCTTGTTGTTAGAGGTCGTTCGAAGAGTCAGAATAAAGGAAGGAGAGGGAGATCGAAGTCAAAGTCCAGATTGAGCAAAGATGAATGTGCCTTTTGTCGAGAAAAAGGGCACTGGAAGAAAGAATGTCCCAGGTTAAAGAACAAAGGCAAACCTGAAAGGGGAAAGACTATCTCAGAATCAAATGTGGTCGAGTATGATGATGCAGATTCAGATTTCGCATTCGCTGCTACGCCATCAACTAGTTGTTCCAGTTCATGGCTATTAGATTCAGCTTGTAGCCACCATATGACCCCCAATAGAGAATGGTTTTTTGATTTTAAAGAACTAAAAGGTGGAATTGTCTACACAACAAATAATTCCCCTCTTGATACACTTGGGATTGGTTCAATTCGCTTGAGGAATCAGGATGGATCAATCAGAACCTTAACAGGTGTCTATTATGTACCAGATTTAATGACAAATCTCATCTCTGTGGGAACCTTAAAGTCAAAAGGTTTAGAAGTGAGAGAAAAGATGTGATTATGAGGATTAT